CCTGCTGAGCTTGTGCTCTACTTGGCTCCATAGTATCTAATTTCCTCCCATTAAGCAATGTGGCTAGCAAGTAACCAATATCTGTCCTGTATATACTGTCTTTTCCTTCCAGAGATAAATATGTAGTGAAATGTTTTGTTTGAGATTTCTTGGGGAAGATTTTTAGCTCCATTTTCATGCACTTCCTTCTTATTACTGAAAATAAGGCCAATTCAGTCAACTCACGTCTGCTTCTAAGCGTCACCAATTTCCTACAAGTTCAGAAACACAAGGGAAAATGGAGATAGAGACCATATATCAAATACGGCTCCCAATCCAAATTTTTCTAGGCATGATTTTTATCTCAAGTTGTGTATTTGTCCATCTAGATTTGTTTTCATTCATTACAAAAAATATTAAGTCTATTCCTCCATGGGAGGAGATACAAAAGTTTTTCCAGATTTGCACAAATGTAACTGAGGTAAGAAGCTGACCTTTAGTACTCTTCTTAAGTCCTATAGTCTTCACCTATTTTTTGGAGGGGAATTGCAGTGATGTGTATGGAAAGCAGACCCATAACACTTTGCAAAGCTTTAGGGATACTTTTTTTTTTTTTTTTAAGTACAGCTATTTCTGGAACAAGGGGTGAGCATGTCCCAAACATAGTATAACTATAGAAAATAGGAATACGTACAGCTGCTACCCTTGGGTGGGGTGCTGGTAGAGGAAGATATTGAAAAAATATAGCACAGTAATAATAGCAGAAGAACAGGACAGCATATTATAGCTGTCCCTGCTCAGGTTTAATTGGGTTTTCCTCAATACAGTGAAGAATGGCTGAGGAATTTCTCAGCTTGCCATAAACCTCGCAGCAGTCCCCTCAGACTGCACTCAGCTCCGGTCCCATGGCATCGAGTGCATAATCTTTACCCACACACATCAATACCCAGCTCCCACAGCAACCAGAAGGAAGCACGCACCATTAAAGAGGTTAATTCCCATGCGTTATAATAGACTGTATTTATTGAGGAAATGCAAGTAAGCATTTTAATAGAAAATTTAAAACCCATTGGGCCTGATTCTCTTCACATTGGTTTTAAATCAGTGTCACTCAGTTTACTTAATCCTGTGTTTCTCCTGATGTTAGCAAAAGAATGAGCCAAAGCATTCTCCCCTTGCTCCTAAAGTAAATTAATGATTTTGACTAAACTTTTCTTATCAACCTAGGCTACTTAAGCTCAGTGAAACTCTCAGATACTGGCAAAACTCAAGCACATCTTTCCTCTTTGGCTTCTGCCTCTTGCCCAGCATCACAGTGGCTCTGTGCACAGCTTAGGTTTGACTGTGCAAATTGCCCATGGTTGTTTTGCCTGTCCAGGCAATCCTCGGGTGAAAAAAAAGCAGTGCTCATTGTTACAGATGAAGATGTTGTTTTCCTGTAGCCATGCTCCAGGCAAGCTCTTTGGCATTTTCCATCTCTGCCCTAAAGAAAAACAGAGCGAATATGGAGGGAGGCAAGGGACTGAACACGCAGACATGGGGCACACACAGTACAGCAAGTGCATCCCAATTCATTGCTATTATACATGTATGTAGAAGAATCTACTGTTGGGAAATTCTGTCAATACGCTGGCATAGCCAGAAAGATTAAAAGGGCCTGAATTTTATTTCCTTACTTATTTTGCATGTGTGATTTTTTTTTTCCCTTGGGAAATGCTTACCTGTGATGCTTAATTTCAAATAATGCCAGGAATTGCCTCATGTTGTCCTGTTAGGATGCCTTCAAGTGCTAAATAACCAGTGCCAATGGCCTTTGCACAATGGATTAGTGACAACCAGTTCACTAAAGCGTACCCCCTAAATGAGAGGTCTCAAAGTCCTGTTCTTGGGGCAGCATGATGGGAGCTGTGCCGACTGGGAGCCAGCCTTGGTGTAAGTGCTAGCCCTGCTCTGAAGCATTCAGACTCCTCCTTTTGTCCTGTTTCTTGGGGGGAAACTCTTCCCTTTCCAGGGTTCTTGAGGTCTGTGCCGGGCTGCCTCTCTGTCCACTCTGCCGAGGCCTCCTTGGCACAGCCTTGCTGCCTGCTAGAGCAGCGTGGATGTCCTCAGCAGCGGGAAGAGCAACTCAGACACAGACATTTGGAAGCAAAGTGATGCAGCATACCAGGGATGCTGATGCTACTGCAGATAACTTAGTGGGCCCAAAGAGGGCTTTCCCAGGCCCACAAACATTAACTTTAACAAACGGAAAATCATTCTCCAGCTAACGGCTTAAGTGGATTTATAAAAAGTGACTTACTTCTTTGCAGTTAGTAAAAGCCCCAAAGCATTATATTTATATTAAAAAAAATAGATTAAAAACTATGATTTGGCTTCAATTGCTGCGAGAAAGAAAAAGCCTTTCCAACCACTTTGGCAAAAAGGCGATCTGGCTTTTGCTGCTGGTAACAGCTGTGTTGTAGTCAGGGCCTGTTTTGCACGGGCACCAAAAGCAAATTTGGGTCCCATTGGGCAAATGTTAGCGTCCCCCTTGGGTGGGTGAGGGCACCCTGCAGTCCACCCCGTCCCATATGGCCTATTAAGACTAAGCTTTCTCCTCTGCCCTCCCTCTCAAAGTGCATTGAAAAAGTCTAGATTTCCTCTGGTGTTCGGTAACCTGAAAAAAAACCTTGATATAAGGCTGTTACTACCAAAGCACTACCACTTTGTGGCATCAATTTTATAAAGGAATATGGGAATCTGCACTCCATTCCTGTTAATTTAAATGGATATTTTGACTGGATTATGTAATTATATTTGGGCTTGTGCTTGTTCATGTGTATATGAGCTTATATGCCACAATTCGTCAAAAGAGGTCAATCCGTAAAAGTTCAGTTTAACCTTGGCTCAGTGGAGCTTTTTCTTCTGATTTTTGGTCTGATATGAAAATTGCTTGGGTGAAATAAAGACAAACATAGGTTCGCTTGAGAAGACTTTAATAACCCGATCCTTATATGTTTATCTAGAAGCCAGGTACAATCCAGCGTTGATTGTCTCTTAGCGTGTCTTCTTTGCTTTCACAGAAAATCCTGAGAGATAATGCCAGGTCATCACAACCATGCACTGGAGCACTGTGTACCTGCAGACCAACACTGGCAACTCTGAAATGCATAGCGAGCGCTGGTTAATGTGTGTGGGACAGATCTATCCAGATATATGAGAGAAATCATTGCAATACATCACTCTTGGCATTTTACAATCCCCATTTGACCATTTCCCCAAAAAGTTACTTAAAGTGTATATTGCTTTACATTTTTAAAATTTTGTTTAAAATAGAAGAACTTTTACAGGCAAGCCTAAAAGATTATTTTAGGAGCGAAACTTATTTGTGAGATTTCTAGCCTAAGTAAATAAGAATCCCATGGGAACAAAGAATTTGGGATACATTCAAACAAACACTGTAAAGTTTTGAGAAATGCCAAGTTGTGCGGAGATCGGTGTGTGTACTACGTGTTTGTATAGTCAACATTGTCATAGCAATATGGTATGCCAGTTATTAGTTCTGTTCATTGCAGATGGCTTCATTATGTGTATTTAATTTCAGTACTTAAGCAAACATACAATAACAAGGCTTAAGAGCTGCTTTAGGATATGACGGTTCTGTACGGTCAAATGAAATGGAAGGGAAAAGGAAACAACTGATACTGCTCTGGTTGGAGGTAAATCTGTATTGATGGGATTAAGCCACTTAGAGGCATCCCTCCACTTGAATAGCCCCAAAACCACCAATTGCTTTGTTTGCGGTAACGAGAAGGTACTGATCACTAGAGCCTTAATTTGCCACAGCAGTTAAGTGCTCCAATTCCTCAGCGCAATAATTGCCACATGTTGAGTGTGCAGATGTCTAAACACGTGGGAGCACTTCCTTTTCCTAAAGACAAATGAAGATTTTCATTTTGTTTTGTAAACGTGTCAGGATTTATCACTTAGTCATGTGTCATGCATTAGGGTGTTTACACAATACAGCTTTCCACACCCTGGTTCTGGACTTCTATGATTTCAACAACATGGCTGTGGAGTAACGGGGCTTTGCCAAACCTTCTCCTTTTAACCCAAAGCTTCGCCTTTTAACCCAGACCTTTGGCTAGACTGAAGAGAAGTGTAAGCTAAGTGTGCGCGGTCAGGGAAGTAACTGGGACTATTCCCAAGAGTGCGACAAGTAGACCTCACCATAGCCACAGGGGCTGCCTGATAAAAGAGAGCAAGACAAACAAATACTAAAATAGAATGAAGGTAAAAGTAAAGGTGAAATCATGATGTCTGCAAGCAAAAATTATACATATTCATCTATATTACATGCCAGGTATATTGAATTCCACCCGTAGCCTCTCTTCAGGCTCTGTGTCCTGCCCAAGGACTAACAACCTGACTCTTTAAACTTCCTTTTCATATAAATAGCTACGTTTAAAAACAATTTATTTTCAAGTTTGAATGTGTTACATCTTATCAGAGCCAGACTGACTGGCTGTAATGATATTTCTGAAATAACTGTTCCATAGTGGAAACCGGAATGGGCAGAAGCTGGGAAGTTCAGAGGTAGGTTGGGCTCCAAGCCCAAAGCTTGCATCATTTCAATCTAGAGTTTCAGTCTGATGGTAGTGCTACGGAATGGAGCTTTGATTAGGACTGAGATCCAAATCAGAGCATTTGTGTAGTAGCAGAAGTGTGGTCTGGGGTCCTGATATACAGTTTGTTTCTCAGAAAGAAGTGGACTTTATGAACAAAGCCTTAGCTGCAAAGATGTCAGAATAACTTACTGATGTTTCTAATGAACTTTTGTCTTTTTTTAATCTGAAAGTAGAGATGGTAACAACATTATCCAAGCTGGAAAGTATCTCCCTCCATAGTCTGTTACCCCTTTTGGGGGTTGATACTCTTTTTTCTGTTTGCAGAAGGAGGGAAGAAAAACCCTGCTTATTTATCTGTTAGCAGACAAAGACTGTAAAGAAACCCAAGAAGCATCCTGGCACAAAAGCCTGAACTCTTTGACCTCTCAGGCCTCAGGCCTGGACAATTGTCCAAGCCTGGCTTTCTCCTGAGAACTGCCCGAGGGCAAAGGCTGAGAAAGATGCACATTGTTCCCCCGCTATCCATTAAAAGTCAGGGCTGAAAGGCAACCCATCTTACCAGGTTAGAGCAGTGCTGAGAATGCAGCTTGACACTCATTTTCAAGGTAATGTAATAAAGAAAAAAGTGAGTTGTAGGGATCTTAATTCTTTAAAATTTAAAAGCTAATTTTGTGTCTTTTAGTCAATTTCCTATGCAGGAAGGAAGAATTTATTAACTGACTTCTGATGTTAAATGGAGTGCTAATGGGCAAGTACAACAATTCAACAGGTGCCAAGTAGAAATATAGAGACATTATATCAATATTAATCTTAGAGCCTTGCAAAAGCCTTTGCAGAGGGTTTTGTTAGCCAGTTTGTGATCAGAACACCCATGCCATCCCCAAAGTGACAAGAGGACTTGAGATCCCTCTTTAAAGCATTCGAAGGCTCACAGACAACTTGGTTTGCAAGGTATTTTGGTGGAAGACCATGGATTTTGTGTCATTGATTGCGCTAGGATACTTCCATCACTGAACACCCAGCTGGGAACCTGAACACCCAATATAGCAGTCAAAGCAATAGTCGGTCTTGCTAAAAATCTAAGTAACTACCATTTAACTAAACTTCTGCCAGCAGACAATTACTGACTCTAATGCACTTCTGATGTTGACCCCTATGTTGGAAATTTTCTATGTATGAGCAGCAGCTGAAGACGAACAGGCCATTTTTTCTGAAGACAAGGCTCTTGTCTTTAGAAAAATCACACCTAGAGTCACACCCAATGCAGCAGGTCCCTCATCCAGATAAAAGACTTTAAAACGTGCTGGAATATTTTTCAATGAATGATTTTTTTCATTGTTCCAAGCCATCAAATTATTAATGGGAAAGGATCAATGGGAAAGGGAAAATACTTTTGTCTAAAATCTCAGGTGGGAGGGGAAAAAACCCACAATGTTTTCAGATGGAAAAGTCCACATTTTATGGCCAAAAGAGTTTAAAAATTTCAAAGTGTAAGCTAAGTGTAATTTTGGAAATGACAAAGTCAAAATCAAAGCAAAATATTATGATGTTTCACGGTACAATTTTTTTGACCAGCTGAACATATTTTTAGTTTGAAAGTGTGTTTTTTGCAAACTAACAATTTTGTCATTCTATACTAAATCCTAATGAAAAAGATGCCGCAGAAATGCCCATGGAATCAGAAAACTATTTCTCTGGGGCTCTGTTTCTCTTCACTAATACATTAAAAATAGCAAATAGTAGTGATATTTGCCAGCACTGAAATAATAATAACGACATCAGTGGAAAAAGGGAGAATCAGTTAACTAGAAAACTGTTTCTGGGAGTTCTGACTCTCATGAGATTTACCACCAACCATCTGAGCTGCTTGGATCTATTTTTTAATAACAAATTTTAAGGAGCAGAAATGGCCTTTGGTAAAAGTGCCACAGATTATCTACAGGTAATGAATTATGCCACTCCCGTTACTGCATAAATATGTAAGGAGATATCGCAGCGTCAGCAGCCCCTTTCCTAAGGAACTCCTGAGCCTGCCGGTGTGTGTAGTCCCAGAGTAGACTTCCCGGTTCCTGAGCCTGTGGTGCCAGGCTTGCGGAGAATTCACCTTCAGTAGCTTTGGGGCCCCTTGGGGCCCGTTGCTGCTCAGCCGTCGAGCTTCGTGCGGGAGGATGCTCTCGGCATCGGCAGCAAATTCTTTTCGGCGAGCCTGTCCCTTTTCGGCGGAGCACCAGCATCACAGCCCTCTGCTCAGCTGCCGTCAGAAGGATGTTGCACAACCAGGCTGCATCATGTTCTTACTCTGTAATGGCCCTTTGCGATCGGTGTCGTAAACAGCATCTTATTCATTTCAGCAGCGTGCTGCAGCGGAAAAACATCGCCTGGCAATCCTGCATAGCAGCGTCCAGAAAAGGAAATAAAAACTGCGCAATGAGAATGACACAGGCTCTAGGGCTACTCGGCACCAAGTTTTTTTCATGTGTGTGTGAAAATACAAACAGGCTTTATCTCACGTGAAGGATTAGTTTCCTCTGCTAATAATAACAGCAACTCCCCGCCCCCAAATCAAATGAAGACTTTTTGGGTTCCGTTGTCAGCTACACCTTCCCTCACCCCTTAACTCTGTAAATCAAAAGTAGCCCCAAAGAGGTTCAGCTCAGTTTTATATGTCTGCAAATATGCTGAGTGGGATGGGTAACATCTCCTCCTGTGAGCCCAAAATGTGATTTGAAACAGCCAAGACAATTAAACCCTTCAAATTAGGGAATACCAATGTTTAGGGGGGAGGGATAGGGGGAGATTTGGACATGTAGTGCTATTGTTTAGCAAAACTTCACATGAGAAAAATAATGATGTCAAGTTCTGTAGCTGCTACATGTATTCAAAAATTTTTTTTTCAAATATAAATATTTAAGATACTGAAAAGCTGCTTTCCCCACTCCCTTAAAAATTCCAAACTGTACAATCGGTTCCCATAAATGACTAATCTTATTTTAAATGAAGCTAATTTTTGGCTGGGTCTTGAGAAGAAAAAATATTGGATCCACAACAAAATCCATATTTTCCCCCTACTCTGTGTCTTAAAAATGCATCCAGACTAACAGCTTGTTTCCAGATGATATTGGATGCTTCTTTTCGTTTCCAAAATAGGGTTTTTTGAATCTGGCCGAGCGATACACTGATCTGGTCGAGATCAGATGTGGGTTCTAGATTTTTGCTCCCTCTCCTTCACCAGGTTCAGGCTAGGGTGTTTGCACAAGCTGCTGGGAAAAAGGAGAAAGCGTATTTGCAAAATCTGGACCTAGAATTTCAAGCAGGAGAGCACGGTGCCTCGGCGGCTCTGTCCCCCCTATGGCGGGTGGATTTATTGGGTGTCACTATGACACAATGTGTCTATTCGAAACGGAAGAAAGCCCCCTACTTAACCTTCATCTTTTTGTGTGTGCACGTACCAGAAGGCACCACACTGTTACTGGAAAGCAAATAATTAGTGACATGTTCTATAATACCATTGCTATTTAAAGCTAAATCAGTGGGTTAATGCTTCTCGAAATGTGACATCCATGAGGGAGTCTCACTCCAGTACTCTTAGTCACTTGGTGGTCTCCGGAGTGACAGAATCAATGTTGTGAGTTTTAAAAGTCTTGGTTGCAACAGGAAACAAGTGATTATTGGAGAAATTACATGGCGGGGAAGGGGGGGGGAAATGTGCAGAGAGCCAGATCCTGCGGAGCCTGACTCTTTCTCCCCAAGGGCTCCCACTGGGGATGCGAGCTGCAATCATCGTTACGGCAAACGAGTAGGTGGGGGAAGCTTTCTGCAGAGGGACGCAAATATTTTGGCATGGCTGAAGGGCTGAGCGGGGCAGGGGAAGAAGACAGAGCCTTCCCTGGCTGTGGTGATTCCCCGAGCCGCAAGTCCCAGGGAGGTCAATCCCAGGACCCGTCGGTCCTCAGCCCTTTGGCTAACCTTAGCCCCGGCACGCAGCTTAGTGCTGCCCCTCTCCTTGCAGGCTCGTGGGGTGAGGAAAATGAATTCTGCTTTGCCAAATCCCTGAATGCAGAGCTTAGGGCTCCCCGGGAATCTGAACTGCACTGAACACGCCGACGGGATCTGAAAAATGAATTCATAATTACACGCCAATGATATAGAAAGAGGCTCTGGAGCTGATTTTTCTCAAAGAACTGAAGCAAAGCCATTCTTCATTAGGGCAAACAGCCTGAACAGAACTCTTCACATGGCTGAGAACAAAATCCAAAAGCATTAAGGGGAAAAAAAATAAAAGAACTAAAACAGTAAAATCACATTTTACTTCTTCTTACCCAGGAGATTGACACAGTAGCTTTTTTTTCTCCTTCCCATTTTCCATTAAGCTGATTCTTTAAAACACATCTGAACTTTTCCCATCCTGACGATTCCCACGGACAATTGGCAGAGAATCTAGGACAACTTGCAATACTGGGATTTTTTCCAGGCATGAGTAACTTGTTAAAAAGCCACTATTTCCCTAATACTAACAGTAAACAGAGTTCACATCCACATGAAATCCTCTGTGACCCATCGGGGAAAGTTTTTTGT